ACACATGTTTATTCCCTTTGTGTGGTATTGGGACAAAACAAAAAAAGGGAGGAAAGAAAGCAAATTCGACATGTCACACAAACCTCCAAAAATGGGCTGGACAAAAGTATTGGCACCCTTTCACAACTGCGGATAAATAAGAATGTTACAAGCATGTGATGCTCCTGTAAACTCACCTGGGGCAAGTAACAGGTGTGGGCAATATAGAAATCACACCTGAAAGCAGATAAAAAGGAGAGACGTTCACTTAACCTTTGCATTGTGTGTCTGTCTGTGCCACACTAAGCATGGACAACAGAAAGAGAGGAGACGAGAACTGTCTGAGGACCTGAGAACCAAAATTGTGGCAAAAATCAACAATCTCAAGGTTACAAGTCCATCTCCAGAGAACTAGATTTGCCTTTGTCCACAGTGCGCAACATTATCAAGAAGTTTGCAACCCATGGCACTGTAGCTAATCTCCCCATGGTCGTGGACGGATGAGGAAAATTGATGAAAGATTGCAACGCAGAATAGTCCGGATGGTGGATAAGCAGCCCCAAACATGTTCCAAAGACATTCAAGCTGTCCTGCAGGCTCAGGGAGCATCAGTGTCAGCGCGAACTATCCGTCGACATTTAAATGAAATGAAACGCTATGGCAGGAGACCCAGGAGGACCCCACTGCTGACACAGAGACATAAAAAAGCAAGACTACAGTTTGCCAAAATGTACTTGAGTAAGCCAAAAGCCTTCTGGGAAAAACGTCTTGTGGACAGATGAGACCAAGATAGAGCTTTTCGGTAAAGCACATCATTCTACTGTTTACCGAAAACGGAATGAGGCCTACAAAGAACAAAACAGTACCTACGGTAAAAAATGGTGGAGGTTCAATGATGTTTTGGGGTTGTTTTGCTGCCTCTGGCACTGGGTGCCTTGACTGTGTGCAAGGCATCATGAAATCTGAGGATTACCAAAGGATTTTGGGTCGCACTGTAGGCCCAGTGTCAGAAAGCTGGGTTTGCGTCCAAGATCCTGGGTCTTCCAGCAGGACAATGACCCCAAACATACGTCAAAAAGCACTCAGAAATGGATGGCAAAGAAGCGCTGGAGAGTTCTGAAGTGGCCAGCAATGAGCCCAGATCTAAATCCCATTGAACACCTGTGAGAGATCTTAAAATTGCTGTTGGGAAAAAGGTGTCCTTCCAATAAGAGAGACCTGGAGCTGTTTGCAAAGGAAGAGTGGTCCAAAATTCCGGGTGAGAGGTGTCAGAAGCTTATTGATGGTTATAAGGAAGCGACTGATTTCAGTTTATGTTTTCCAAAGGGTGTGCAACCAAATATTAAGTTAAGGGTGCCAAATACTTTTGTCCAGCCATTTTTTGGGGTTTTGTGTGACATTATGTCATATTTGCTTTTCTGCCTCTGTTTTATATTTGTTCCAATACATACAAAGGGAATAAACATGTGTATAGCAAAACATGTGTTAATGCAATACCTTTTTTGTGTGAAATACTTGATTTTCAGGAAAAATATCAAGGGTGCCAACAATTTTCGGCCATGACTGTATATATATATATATATATATATATATATATATATATATATATATATATATATATATATATATCACACACACACAAAAAATATACATACACACACACACACACATATAAACACACATATACACACACACACATACACACACACACATACACACACATACACACACACACACACCCACACATATATACACGCACACACACATATATACACGCACACACACATATATACACGCACACACTCAGTTGGCGCCACTCTGTTTTTTTTCGTTTTTACAGTGTAGCTGCAGCCATGTTACAGTGATTTCACGAGTGACTTTTATGGATTACTTATGGGACTCTGTACTACGTTTCCAACCCCAGCAATCCTAGCGCCATGCAACTACATCTAATTAAAGATGTATTATGCAGATTCTTTCAATCCAATTCCAGTTTAAGCTGGTGCCCTGATCACTGTATTATTATTTTTCCAGGGTTATGGTGGCTCAGTAGGGGTGGGGAAAGACCTGGCAACCTACCCTGTAAAATAATTGCTAAGAGAATTCATGGAAAAAGTCACTTACGAGTGACAGTGCATGCAATTGCCAACGGTCGGATACGACTGAATGGATAGATCGATATATGGTGTCTCCCAACTCTGCTTGTCTATACAAATACACAGCACCCAAACCTAGGACATCAAGGCACTCCAATGCAAAATGGACGGCTGCTTGAGACTGCACTGTCCCTTGCTGCCTCTTCCCTGTGAAATACCGTGTTCATGCTCCACAACTGGAAGGAGAGAGCAAGAGAGAGCCAGGCTGCCTGGCAATTTCAAAACTACAAGTAGTTAGACAAAAAAATTATTAGTCTTTTGGGGAATATTTACTTTGTTTAGCTGAATGTGTTAAAGTTCACCTTCTCACTAAAATACACTGGAGCCCCAGTGTGTTTAAAAAAAAACAAAAAAAAACAAATGCTGTGCAGTTTTAATGCCTTACCAGTAGGGCACAGCAGATACCACCAGAGCCTGCCAAAATAACACCCACCAGAGTGATCAGCTACATCAAGCTTGCCTAAATCGCGGACCACGGTCCGCATCTGGACTGAGTCACTTTCCAATTCAGACCGTCATTTAGGATCCAGTCCTTCCTCCCAGGACCGCTCTGGATGGGGGGTGGGAGCAGGAGCTGCCAGGGTTAACTTTTCAAGTTAACCTGCAGGTGACTGGTTGCAAGGGTAGGGTAATGTGAAGGGACATGGCTTGGGGGGGGGGGGGGGGGGATGCTGTGCTGTGAAATGGGAGGGAAGGACACCGCTATGAGTGCACATGCAGGCATGCTTCCAAGCTCTGCTGTGTGCATCCATAGACAACACAGCTCGGCCAGGCACCCGCTGCTGTCTCTGTGTCCTGTGAAGAGAGGAAAAGAGGAAAAGAGACCAGCACCGCTACAGACTATCACAGTGCTGGACTGAAACAGGATTCAGGCAAGAACATAGGGTGATAGGGGCATACAACAACTGGGACATTTACCTTAATGCAGAGAATGCATGAAGGTAACAAATTCCTGGCCTTTAGAACCACTTTAATGCATTCAGTACAAGCTCACAAACACTAGATCAGCCTAAAAGGGTCTTCCTACATCCTCTGTAACTGAAAACAGCAATACAAAGCCAGCATGTATAACACCCATCTTCCCTGCCCAAAATCCTTACCTCCATATAGGCCAGCTACCGAAGGTTCAGAGTGGAAGTGGGAAGCGTTAGGATAGACTTGAGGCCCGCAGAAAGAATCTGTTAATTCAGGTGAGAAAGTGAAAAAAGTTAGCAGATACGGGACATTCACAGAACACCTAATACTGTGCAGTAAAGCAAACGCTGTGAAGGAGAGGGAGGGGAGGTTGATGATGTAGTTTGCTGCAATATATGCCTCACTGCTTTCTCACAAAGTAGAAAAAAATAATAGCTGATCCTTCCAGAAATCCAGTGAGCTACTAACTTCCTTTTGTGGACTGACAATGTTGCCACTTCTGCACTGAAATCCCAAGTAGCAATGGCAGTGCTCTTCTGCTGCACTACGTAATTCCGCCAACCTCCATACCTCTCTGTCTTGTGCCCAGCTAACCCGTCCTTACCCTACATCTCTGTCACTTTCAACATCAACACATTGAAATTCTTTCCCAACAAAAACAATGATGCGGTCTTAAAAGCCAGCCAATACACTGTATGTAGGGAAAAGGCTTTTGGGAGATGTAGTTCAGTGGGCGTATCGAAGTCAATGGGAACTCAACCAGAGCAGCCCATCCCTTCTCCGAGGAGCTGCTCCCACAATAAATTCAAAAGCCTGTTGATGTCACAATGAGTAATAAAAAGTATTCCTTGCCAAAAAAAGAAGCAAGAGGAAAGAAATGGGACATACATCTAGGAGGGAGAGAGGTTTGGTAACACATTTGGGTCATTCCGGAGATTAATCTTAAAGGATAAATTCACCTTCGTAAAAAAAATATAATAAAAGCAGAAAAATAATTTTGTAGGTAAAAAGAAATAAAAATAAAGCATTTATGTTTACTAGGTGCCTACAGGCCGGCAGTGTTACACACATGGACATCAAGCATCAATGAACCTCCTAAAGCGCTCATCAGCGCCCTGGTAATTCATTGAGAACTACAAGTTGACAGCCACAAATGCTGTTGGTACTTGTAGTTCTCCTAGTCACAGAACTCTGTGAATGAAGGATGCAGCTGGGTAGGTGGAGTCCCGCATGGCCGAGTTTTATTAAAATTGTGATCGCGAGTGCGAGGAGGTGATCCCCTGCTCACTGTCACAACGGGAGTTATAAAAAGTTGACTTTTTCCTTTAATTTCAGTCACTAACCCAGATTAGCACTTTACCCCCTACAACTGTGACAGAACAATTTGAAGCACTGAAGCAGAAAGCTGGCAATAATAGCCAGGCAACTAACATTATTAGAATTAAGTCAACCATGCCCTCAGGAAAGATTTATTTTAAGAAAATTCTTCTGAAACAAAAATGTCCATGATGCGGGAAACAATGACTGCACCTATTTTTTATTACTCTCCTACACTGTGGCATACTGCTTGCAACAAACATGACAGGTGCACTTTAATATACAAATGTGCTCTAAGACAAATATAACATCACCAACATTACATAATGACTGATGACACATTCCACAAAACTAAAAAAGGTCAATTTGACAAATGTGGAGGGAGGTACAATTATGGAGAAGATGTCAGTTATTGTATGTAAGACAGGTGCTGCCAAGGTGACCAATCAGATTCAAAAACCTTCAACGCAGCTCAAGGATGAAACAGACATCTAATTGGTTTCTAGAGGTAAAACATCCACTTTGACAGAATGCCCCCCTAAGGTTCACACCACATTGCATCATAAGGAAGATGAGGGAACAATCTAAAAGTTCATTTGTGTAGATGTACATTTTACTGAAAAAGTACTTTACCAATAAATATGTCATGGTTAGGAGTCTTAGCTGTGAAGCTGGCAGTGTCAGTGCTTATACCAGGTAGGTGGGCACCATCACTAGGTTTACTGAGGAAAGGATTAAGGTTTGAGATGGTCTCATCACCAGTTTCAGAAGAGAATGGATCTGCACTCCCCCATTCACAGGACAGCAGAGAGAGAAGAGCACATACAATACAGTTGGTTAGAAAAAGACGTACATACTAACCGCATCTACAGGACAATTCAGTGAACAGAGTTAATCACATACACAGGAGGATAGATGAGAAACACGGCTACAATAAAGCAAAACAGAGATTCAAAAGAGCAAGAGAGAAGACAGCGATAAACCTCTTATGTGCTTTGGACCCTGCTGTGGAACAGCTTAGTGAGTTGGGTTCACAATGCATGGAGGCAGCTTGAGGCTGCTGCATTGCTCTACCTACATACAGTTGGGACCATATATATTTGGACACAGGCACAATTTTAGATTTTTTCAGGTATTTACCAAAACATATTCAAGCTATAGTTATATTCTGGACACTCTCAGGTGTAATTTGAGGGCATGTACATCCAAATTGGAGGAAGGGTTTAGGAGTTACAGCTCTTAAGAGTAGCCGTCCCCCCCTTAATCAAGGGACCAAAAGTAATTGGACAAATTAATATAATCATACATAAAATGTTCACTTATAATATTTTGTTGAGAATCCTTTACTGGCAATGACTGCCTGAAGTCTGGAATCCATGGACATTACCAAAGACTGGGTTTCCTCCTGATGCTTTGCCAGGCTCTATCTGCAGCTGTCTTCAGTTTTTCTTTGTGGGTCTTTCTGCCTTTAGTATTGCCTTCAGCAAGTGAAATGCATGCTCAGTTGAGTTGAGATCAGGTGACTGACTCGACCATTGCAGAATATTCCACTTTTACTTCAAAAGCTCCTGGGTTGCTTTTGCAGTGTGTTTTGGATCATTGTCCATCTGTACTGTGAAGGGCCGTCCAATCAACTTTGCTGCATTTGGCTGAATCTGGGCTGACAGTATATCTGTAAACACTGCAGAATTCATCCGGCTGCTTCTGTCTTCTGTCACTTCATCAATAAACACCAATGACCCAGTGCCACTGAAAGCCATGCATGCCCATGCCATCACACTGCCTCCATCATGTTTTACAGATGACGTTGTGTGTGTTGGATTATGAGCTATTCCAAGCCTTCTCCACATTTTTTTTCTTCACGTCATTCTGGTAGAGATTAATCTTAGTTTCATCCGCCCAAAGAATGCTTTTCCAGAACTGCTCTGGCTTTTTTAGATGTTATTTGGCAAAGTCTAATCTGGCTTTTCTATTCTTCAGGCTCATGAATGGTTTGCACCTTGTGGTGAACCCTCTGTATTTGCTCTCGTAAAGTCTTCTCTTGATTGTAGAGTTTGACAATTATACGCCCACCTCCTGGAGAGTGTCCTTCACTTGTCTGGATGTTGTGAATGGGTTTTTCTTTACCATAGAGAGGATCCTGCGATCATCCACCACTGTTGTATTATTGGATGTCCATGCCTTTTTATGTTGCTGAGCTCCCCAGTGCATTCTTCTTTCCTCAGAATGTACCAAACTATTGATTTGGCCACTCCTAATGTTGCTGCTATCTCTCTGATGGATTTAATTTTTGAACCCTTACAATGGCCTGTTTCACTTGCATGGACAGCTCCTTTGAACGCATGATGTAGGTTCACAGCAATAGATTCCAAATGGAAATACCACACTTAGAATCAACTCCAAACCTTTTACCTGCTTAACTGATGAAGAAATAACGAAGGTGTAGCCCACACCTGGCCATGAAACAGCTTTTTATTCAATTGTTCAATTACCTTTGGTCCCTTGAAAAGGAAGGGGGGGTGGCTACTCTTAAGAGCTGTAATTCCTAAACCCTTCCTCCGATTTGGATGTACATACCCTCAAATTAAACCTGAGAGTGTGCACTTTCAGCCCATATCCATTATATAACTATAGCTTGAATATGTTTTGGTAAATACCTGAAAAAATCTAAAATTGTGCCTGTGTCCAAATATATATGGCTTTAACTGTATCTTCAATGTGTGTAAACTGCGATCTTAAGTATTAAAAGGACACTAAAATTTAGGTAATGTTATTGAAGTTTGGATTCTAAACTCAAAAATTAAAATTTTAACCCCTTTGCGCCTAAGGGTAAAACAAATCTAAATGCTTAAGCACAATTTTGCAACTTTGACATATTTTAGTAAAACTGTACATATCATCACAACTACTTGGATTGGTAGGTGGATTATAACTTTTTTTTTCAGGACAAATTGGGCTTTCAATTGGTGGTGAATGGTAATGGATCTCTCCTGATTTTTTTTATCATCAAAGGAAAACTGGCCCAAAATAGTAAAAATAAACTATATATATTTATATTAAATTAGCTGTATATTTCTTGCTACTAACATAACCTACCGCCAAAGAACAACTCAAAAATTCTCCTGCTCCTGACTACTGCATTAATACCACGTATGTGTATGTTGGTTGTTGTCTGTACCCATAGTAAGGCCCAGAAACAGTGTGCATTTTGCGTTTTTATCCTGCCTAATTGACACGGACACCATTTTAAAAATTAAAAAAAAAAAAAAAATACTGACTCTGACCTTGACCCAAGCACTAATCCTGGCTGTAACCTAGCTCAAACCTTGATCTAGGAATTTTTTAAATATTTTTTTTTTTTTGTAACACACACTTGTTTTTCTCTTTATGAAAGGACAGAGGGAGAGACACAATGTATCTCCCTCCTTCATTCAGGGAGAGAAAACACAGGGCAGGCTTCAGTGTGACTGGTCACTGTGATAGCCCATTAAAGACTATCACAGCGATCAGGTGACCTGGAATCGGGAGCTCCATGACCCAATCTTTACCATAGGACCCTGGGCATGCCGCTCCCAGCACAAAGACCGGTAACACAAATATGCGGCTCCACAGAAAAAAGCCCAGTCAGCGTGAAGGGCTCTCAGTCTCTTCCAAATGTTTTTATTAATTCATTTTTTGCGCTATTATCGGACTTCCTGTAAGAGGGTTGCTACATTCATTGTCAATGATCCCACAATAAGTAAGGATGTAGCCCTCTCCCTTGCTTGCTCCCAAGATGGACTATGTAGTATGAAATTTGTAGTGTGCATATACAGTGGGGCAAAAAAAAGTATTTAGTCAGCCACCAATTGTGCAAGTTCTCCCACTTAAAAGATGAGAAAGGCCTGTAATTGGCATCATAGGTAGACCTCAACTATGAGAGACCAAATGAGAAAAAAAATCCAGACAATCACATTGGCTGATTTGGAAAGAATTTATTTGCAAATTATGGTGGAAAATAAGTATTTGGTCAATATGAAAAGTTCATCTCAATACTTTGACCTCTGTCATTGCCAACAAAGGATATATAACAAACGTTTCCTGTAAGTCTTCACAAGGTTGGCACACACTGTTGCTGGTATGTTGGCCCATTCCTCCATGTAGATCTCCTCTAGAGCAGTGATGTTTTGGGGCTGTCACTGGGCAACACGGACTTTCAACTCCCTCCAAAGGTTTTCTATGGGGTTGAGATCTGGAGACTGGCTAAGCCACTCCAGGACCTTGAAATGCTTCTTATGAAGCCACTCCTTTGTTGCCCGGGCGGTATGTTTGGGATCATTGTCATGTTGGAAGACCCAGCCACGTTTCATCGTCAATGCCCTTGCTGATGGAAAAAGGTTTGCACTCAAAATCTCACGATACATGGCCCCATTCATTCTGTCCTGTACATGGATCAGTCGTCCTGGTCCCTTTGCAGAGAAACAGCCCCAAAGCATGATGCTGCCACTCCCATGCTTCACAGTAGGTATGGTGTTCTTTGGATGCAACTCAGCATTTTCTCTCCTCCAAACACGACTAGTTGTGTTTCTACCAAACAGTTCTATTTTGGTTTCATCTGACCATATGACATTCTCCCAATCCTCTTCTGGATCATCCAAATGCTCTCTAGAAAACATCAGACGGGCCCGGATATGTACTGGCTTAAGCAGGGGGACACGTCTGGCACTGCAGGATCTGAGTCCCTGGCGGTGTAGTGTGTTACTGATGGTAGCCTTTGTTACGTTGGTCCCAGCTCTCTGCAGGTCATTCACTAGGTCCCCCCGTGTGGTCCTGGGATTTTTGCTCACCGTTCTTGTGATCATTTTGACCCCACGGGGTGAGATCTTGCGTGGAGCCCCAGATCGAGGGAGATTATCAGTGGTCTTGTATGTCTTCCATTTTCTAATTATTGCTCCCACAGTTGATTTGTTCACACCAAGCTGCTTGCCTATTGCAGATTCAGTCTTCCCAGCCTGGTGCAGGTCTACAATTTTGTTTCTGGTGTCCTTCGACAGCTCTTTAGTCTTCACCATAGTGGAGTTTGGAGTGTGACTGTTTGCGGTTGTGGACAGGTGTCTTTTATACTGATAAGTTCAAACAGGTGCCATTGATACAGGTAATGAGTGCAGGACAGAGGAGCCTCTTAAAGAAGAAGGTACAGGTCTGCGAGAGCCAGAAATCTTGCTTGTTTGTAGGTGACCAAATACTTATTTTCCACCATAATTTGCAAATAAATTCTTTCCAAATCAGCCAATGTGATTGTCTGGATTTTTTTTCTCATTTTGTCTCTCATAGTTGAGGTCTACCTATGATGCCAATTACAGGCTCTCTCATCTTTTTAAGTGGGAGAACGTGCACAATTGGTGGCTGACTAAATACTTTCTTGCCCCACTGTAGCTGTGCACGAGAGCAACTAATGTGTACTGATTGTTCCAAACAATCGAAAGGGGGAGGGAAAAGGGGAGGTTTGAGAACGGAGAGAATTACAAGGAGAAAGAAAAAAAAGATTTCATGAAAAATAGACTACAGGGCATTTAAGTAGTGGATTTGTATGGATTATTTTTGCAGAATAAGGATATCGTACACGTATATTTGTAGTCAGAAATTTATTCGTAAAAGCATTTTCAGAGGCGTGTGCACCTCTTCTGTATATGTTTAAATTGGTCTGGCATTCGGAATTTGTTTGTTGCAGCATCTTTTTGGTACGGTTTAACTAAAAGCGGGTATTATTTTTATTTTTAATAATATCTTATGTAAAGATAACTTCTCTATTATGATACTACAGAACAGTGTTCCTCTAAAAAAAAAAAAAAAAAAAGTGGACGTTGTTCGAGAAAATGCCAAGGGCTTTTGAATATTTACACATACTGATGTGTTTGATATAAACAAAAAAGTATGAAGTATGTAACGCAATACATATATCCCAGTGATGGTTTGCATGTATGTGCACATGTGAAGGCCCCATTTTAGTGGGAAATATGTAGTAATTTATTTTTGCAAAAACTAAACTGAGCTTTTTTTTGTTAAAGTATGAGCAAGTCAGTCTGCGAATGTACTAATATAAGCTACATTCATGCGGGAGTCCACGAGCAAATACTTTGCGGCGTTCAGAGGTGGTACCTCTGGACGCAGCAATAGTCTCTGATATGGCCACATACAAACTAGCCGCTTACCTGCGGCCATAACTGCAGAAAAGCCCACTGTGGACGCACACTGGCATTTGCATGTAAACGCTCAGATGAGTGGTTTCATGTGAATACGAGCAGTGCCTGCCATTGATTTATATAGACTACAAATCTGACAGCCACTGCTAACATTTGCAGCTACCCTCACACACACAGTGCAAGCAGCCAACAAAAAAACCTACTGACTCTTGTCAGCGGACGCATACAAACTCTTATGTGAATGTTGCCCAAGACACCGTGAAAGTCCCACTTACAAAATGTTCTTATTCCAATATGAATTCTTGGAAAACCTTGATATAATCTGTAATGTAAGACGTGGCCAATGCCAGAAGACCTAAAATTATAAACATAAAAAAATATCGACTTTTCTAGCACTGACTACATATATCTCATAGCAGAGTGGATTTTTAACATAGCCTTGTGAGTCTAAGGCCCCATGTACACGGAACACTTCTGAACGATGGAAAATGGCTGCTGGAAAACGTAGGTTAAAAAAGTCTGTTTAGCCGCGTTTGCATAACACGTTTGCGTTTAGAAGCGTTTTTTAAAGATAAGCACAGAAAACCTCTCAAATGCCCAGAATGCACTTAAAAGTGGTAAATTATTAACTATTTCAGACTGTTCCAGAGAAATACAGAGAGTAGAAGCAGAGACAACAGTATGTGTTGAGATTAGCTAGGTGTAAGTTGCTCATTAACATTTCTTTTGTTTCCAAGGGTGGGAAAGGTGTCTGGTGGAGGGAGACATTAAGGCCACCTGGCAGGAGGTTTTCATGAGGAATTTGAGGTGTGAATGGTCATTAACATATCTTTTGTTTCCAAGGGTGGGAGAGGTCTGAGGTGTGAATTGGTCATTACAATGTGTGACAAGCTTGGTAGGAACATCCTGTGTTCAGTGTTTTGTCCATCTGAGTACCTTGAAAACGCTTTGCATGCATTTTTCAGGATGAAAAAAGGCTCTGGACAGCATTGGGAACTGGAAGAGTTAAAAAAAAATTTCAAACACAAACGCTTATAAAAGCGTTTTAACCGCGTTTACAAGTGTTTGCATTTGAAACGCTGATAAAAATCGACTCCTGAATGCAAGTTTTCTACGTTAAAAAAACAACTGTAAACGCAAATGCCTGTAAACGACTGTAAATGAAGATGTGTAAATGGACACACAGGAAAACATTAGGGAGAGTTCAGGGGCTGCTGAAAAAAACGCTGAACAGTTCCTGAACGTGAGTTTATCAGCTGCAGTGTACATGAGCCCTAATTCTCAGGAATAGCAATAAACAGCCAGTAAAAGACTATTCCTCTGTTTACATGCTTTACCATCATAAATTTACTGTTCTTTTTACAGTCACACCAACAGTGGTGTTTACAAACATCCTTTCATATCTCATTCTGGAAAATTGAGCAGGATTTACAGTGCTAAGCACCATCCCTCTGCCTGAAGCCACGCAACACTCCAGTGAATAATACAGCATGTTCCCGACTTAGGAAAAATCCTGCCGGCAGTAAAAAATATAGATACGCTTCTTACCTCCCCATGTATTCGCTACTTGTGGCACGGCGCTCAGCGGATGCACAGCTGGCTGGAAACTTGGCTGCATGTCAAGCAAGTCATTTGGCAGCTTGGAAGTGCTGAGGAGAGAAAAGTACAAGAAGTGTTATGTTATGTCTGAGCAATTAGACACAGCCCACACAAATACTTCACCCGTGCCACACATTCTCCTACAGTCTGCAAGAAAGAAAAAGAAAAAAAAAAAAGACATTCTCAGAGATGGATCACCAAATCGAAAATATTAAAATACCCACAAAAAGGAGTTTAATAGCCTTTTTCACAAGGCAGAGAACAGTGTGCTAATAATGTGTGAAAAACATATACAAATCTCTCCAAAGATGGTTAGAGAGACCCTGACACAGGTTCTGCAAGTGGGGACTCTTGTTGCACTTCTTTTATGACTCTGGTCTGTGTCTGTGGCTGGTCTGTCTTTGAGAAAAACTCTTTATTTTAAAAGTTTACTTGCAGTGTTTTCCCTTTCCATAAATTAATTGGGACTTGCTCACATTTTCTGCACTAGAAACACCTGTTTCCTCTTGTACCAAATTGTATTGTAACTTTAATGTCTATCTTCATTTTGTACAGCGCTGAGCAAACTGTTGGCACTATATAAATCCGGTATAATAATAATAATCTCAAAGTCTTTGCAAAGTCACATAGAAAACCATTGTTTTCTATATGTTCTGCACCCATTAGAATACAGCTGGTAAATGTAGAATATTGCTGTGTAGAAATCTGCAGCATGTCTGCATTTTAATGTACAGTATCTCTTTATCTATGGGTTTTCAAATATTGCAGCTGAGCTGTGGCACATAGAATTAAATGTGGCATTTCAATAAAGTTAAGGGGAACCCTTAATTTAGCTCTATGGTTCCAAAGACAACAATGCATCTATGTCTAGATCAGTAAAAAAAAAAAAAAAATTCAATTTTTACTCCTGTGTGCAAGACGCCTTAATGTATTAATGCTGCACTTAGATGGCGCCCTCTGCTGTGTGTGATCTTAGGTAGCCTCCCTAGTGGTCTGATTATGTCGGTATTTCTGTGCTCAAAGCGGTACATTTTTTTGCATGAAAATATGTCTTTTTATTGTAGGCCTGTAATTTTTAGGAATAACTCACTGAAATCTGTCCGAACAAGAGTCTAGTAAACATCCCGGGTATGATAAAATTTGAAACACGAAATAAATTATAATTTAATAATCATAAAAAATAATAATATAATAATAATACATTTAATTCAATAATATAATCAAACCAAAAACACTGAAATTTGAAATATAGCGCCAAGTTCTCACATCACTGAGCAAAGTCACAAAATCGTTTTCAGTGTCTGATGAGGAATTTCCCCCACGATTCATTATCACTCAATTCTGCAAGTGGTTCTGATTTACTATCGCTGTTCTCTAGCCGGTCTAAAACCGCTTTTGACCTAAAGGGACGCTTTTTGAACGCCATGGACGTTTCTCAGTTTCCAGGCAGAAAGAACAGTAAAAATGCAGGCAGGGTGCAGGACAAAGCACTCGGGACAAAATGTATGTGAAATGGTTTGATACAGGAATGTTATACTATGTGATTTTAGTGTATTTAGTGAATGTCACTTTTTGACATTTTTAAATTTCCCGCCGTTCTGTTTCCCCGTACATCCCGACGTCGCAGGGAACGGAACCCAGAAGACAGATGCCGGCATCGGCCGGAGGACATTGCCGGGGACACTGCAGGAGGGACATCGCGGGAGCGAAGGACGAGGTAAGTGCAGAAGAGATCCCAGAGCAATGCTGCACGGTATTCCCGAGTATAGCTCTGGGTTACCGCTTGTGGTGCTGAAACTTTACCCCGAGCGACACTCCGGAATACCGCCAGGGAGGTTAAAGTGAACCTGCCCTCTTCAAAGATCTCCTTAACACATGAGGACTACCTGCACTCACTGTAATGGAGAGGAGATTGCATACTGGTTAAAAGTCCATTTTATTTGTTGCTTGCTTTGGCGATCTACTTTCGTTTTCAAATGACAGAGTTATAGGGTAGTCATACTTTCTTATTGCTCTAACCCAGTGTTTCTCAACCTTTTCTCAGTCAAGGCACCCTCTAAAATTATGGACAGTCCCGAGGCACCCCATTCTAAAATGTGAAAAACGAACAGTTTTATATAACACAGCAACATCCACACATGTAGGACACCCAACATTAGAGGTGATTCATTCTTCCAAAGCAAATACACTTTTGCACACTGGTACTGACTAGTATACCAATGTTTCTCCACTCCCTCAGTTTTTCTCCATCACTGAGCTAATGTGACCCCAGCACTGATGGAGAAGGGCTAGGATGCTGTGCAGGCAGCCAACATCCTCCTTATCAACCGATGATGTCATTGGTTATCAGGATGCTGGCGGCTAGAGGGCTGTAATGGAGCATAGTGAAAACTGGTGGCTTTGTGTAACTAAAAGGCAGGTTTTTTGCACCCGATGGCTTGTATAAAAGTTTTTATGCAATTTTTTGGACATTTTGCCAAGGCACCCCTGAAGGATCCTCAAGACACCAAAGGGTGCCTGGGCACCCTGGTTGAAAAAGGTTGCTCTTACCCAACCAAGAAGCACAACTATGCCCAAAGAAACGAAAAGTGTGAAACTATGGGGCTAGTGGTCTTCATAAGCCGTATGCTTTATAATTTACATCCATGAGAGAAAAAATACCAGCAAGTACAGATTTGGCTGTGGTATGTAAAAAAAAAGCAACTTTGGTGGCGTTTACTATATTTTGACTCTTGTACAAGTATGAACTAGAAAAGCTACAATTTCTGGGGAAATGTGAAGTGTTCTTGCCTCGACCAGTAGTCTACAACTGGAGTGGGCGGAGTAACTGGGTGGAGTGGGCGGAGTAACTTGTGTGGTTGGAGTGGCTGGAGTAACTGTGAAAAGGTTGGACTGGGCAGAGTAACTTTATGGAGTGGGCAGAGTAACTGTGTGGAGTGTTTGGAGTGAGTAAAGATAGTGAGAAAACAGGTGGCGCACACACCTAGTGCATTATCCAAGGTTTATTGTAGGAGTGAAAGAATAATAAAAAACATACTCACAGACGAAGCATGTATCTAAAAAGCATAGAAAAATGACAATGGCCACAACGGCAGGCAGGGTGTTCTCACTGTCAGTGCGGTCAAATTTCTGACGTGTTTCGGGGACGAACCCTTTCCTCAGAGCTGATGACCAGCCTCTGGTGCAGATGTGTGATGAATGGAAAGCAGGAGCCTTGCTGTTGATGCCTCAAAAGCAAGGCTCCTACTTTTGGCTGTGCATATCCTGAGGCACTGGAGAGTACATACGATATCCGTTTCGGTTGAGTAAAGATAGTGAACATTACACTAACCAATTGATTGATCAAATTTAAAAAGTGCACATGGCAAGCTTGATAGAGTGAGAAATGCATTTCAACTTTTATTTTTCAGCTCACACTCTAGCTTTTGTCACTCGGCTGCCTGCTCACACACCTGGGTTCCTATGGCAACTCACTCTACAGCAAGAGCAGAGAAGAGCGGTTAAAAAAACAAACTGCTCCAACTTGCTCACTTCACTGGTGGTTGCCATCTTCAAACCGTTGTAGTTTAAAAATGATAAATCCTGAAGAGCTTTATATTGTGAGAATCACAAGACCCAGACCTACATTTTGATGCATAGTATGTCTCTGAAATATTAAAAAATATAGGCACAGTCGCAGTTTAGAAATTGCCCTTCATATTTGAGGTGGCTAGAGTGGAGTTTCAATGAATGTCAATGGGCGGCGTGAGTTGCAAACAAATGGTCATGTTGTGAAAACTATCAGGACTATGGCTTAGCCGTGGACATTTTTAGTGACAGCAGGGATAGCCGAACGTTTTTGATATAAGATTTGTGTAGGTGGGCTTGAAAATGAGGGAGTGATGGCAGTTTACAAATCATGTCCTGATTTTTCATCTCACACTCTAGCTTTTGTCAGCTCCCACTCTAGTTTTGAACATTCCGCCATTCATTCCTATGGGACCAATTTCACCACAAAACCGTCGATATTTCCTGAACCATTCGGCGAAATGTTCCACAAAGTAATAGCACACCAATCGGGAACAATCCGCACGTTTCCGTATATTACTGTCTATGTAGTGTAGAGATGATTGTAGCCGTGTTAGTGCATTTGTGACAGAAACAATTGAGTACTGGCCGTGATACTTTTTTTATTTGCACTAACATACAAATTTGAGGACAAGCTTTCAAGGTATGTCCCCTTCTTCAAAGTCCAAGCAGTACTCAGTACTGCTTGGACTTTGAAGAAGGGGACATACCCCGAAAGCTTGTCCTCAAAATTGTATGTTAGTGCAAATAAAAAAAGTATCACTGACAGTACTCAATTGTTGCTGTCTATGTAGTGTAAAAACTGTGGGAGGAGTTAAGGTGATAAATGTGGCTATAATAATATATGTGAGATAACAGTAAGTGGTCTGCCATGCAAGAACACTTAATTAGAACCCATACCTGTTTAATGAACCTGGAGTTGAAAACAGGTCAATGGCGGCAGTTGTATTTATACTGCCTGCTGAGGATGACACGGGGGAGGAGGCGGTCGTGGAGGCGTTGTGAGGCTTTTTGGCAAGCTCCTTGAGACGCTGTTCCTTGAAAGAAAGAGACATCTGAAAAATCCCCAATAAGCAGTTAAGTGATGAAACACACAAAAACGGATTACTTTTACTGAAAAGAAAAAAAATTGCTGTAATTTCACGGGTATATGGTTATGAATAGGAATGTAATTGTGTGGTTTAGAAATTACCTTTAAAGCTTTTAATCGAGCCTGTTCTTCGTCCAGTGCTGCTTGCTTTTCTCTTTCATCCACTCTGGTGAGGGAGAGGCCGGTACTCGCAAGTGATGAGACTGCATTGGAAAGTGTGGTAGCCCTGCATTGAAAGCAGAAGGGTTGTTAAATCTAAACCCTAAACTGATGACATTTCGTGTGCTAGAACACTCTGTACCGTTTTCACGTATCACACAATTTTTGCATCTCGATGCTGCTGATCTTCTGTAGTCTTTTTCAGGCACTTCCTACACACTTAAGCCTAGTAGAAACGGGTCGAATGCCAGGCGGAATCAGCCGTACCAATAGAAACCAGCTGACATTTGGCACATGTGTAGGGCAGCTGGTTCCACCAGCTTCTGTCGAAGGGGCATGACTAAAAAAGGACTGCCAATTGGCTCCCGATTAGAAGTGTTCTGGCAAAGCACAATAGCACAGTGGGGGAGATCGCTGTACTAACATGCACATTAAATAGTCCAGAGGAGTTTTTTAAGCTGAGCGTTTAGAGGCAAAAAAAGAAACCTCTTCTGGTTAGCGTCTTCTGAGCATTTTTTTGGCAGAAAAAAAACTAAACACTCCTAAACGCTGACTCACAGCATTTTTCCCCCTAATGTTTAGTAAAAATGCTTAAGAACGCTAACGCTCCTAAATGCCAGCAGAAAAATGCTAAATATGAGCGTTTTATACAGTGTTTTCTAGCAAGGTAACTGGCTTTTTATTTTAGAGTGTGCTTGGGGAGGAGATGATATTTAGTGATGTGGTTAGATCACATGCACATGAGTGAGAGCATATTTGATAGAGGGTGTGTGTGTTTGTGAGAGAGAGAGGGGGGGGGCCTATGTGCGAGAGAGAGGGGGGGGGGGCTATGTGCGAGAGAGGGGGGGGCTATGTGCGAGAGAGGGGGGGGGCTATGTGCGAGAGAGAGGGGGCGCCTATGCGCGAGAGAGGGGGGCGCCCATATGCGAGAGAGAGAGGGGGGCGCCCATGTGCGAGAGAGAGAGAGGGCGCCCATGTGCGAGAGAGAGAGAGAGAGAGAGAGATGTGCGAGAGAGGGCGCCCATGTGCGAGAGAGAGAGAGGGCGCCCATGTGCGAGAGAGAGAGAGGCGCCCATGAGAGAGAGAGGGCGCCCATGTGCGAGAGAGAGAGAGAGGGCGCCCATGTGCGAGAGAGAGAGAGGGCGCCCATGTGCGAGAGAGAGAGAGAGGGCGCCATGTGCGAGAGAGAGAGAGGGCGCCCATGTGCGAGAGAGAGAGAGAGAGGGGCGCCCATGTGCGAGAGAGAGAGAGAGAGAGAGGAGGGCGCCCATTGTGCGAGAGAGAGAGAGGGCGCCCATGTGCGAGAGAGAGAGAGAGGGCGCCCATGTGCGAGAGAGAGAGAGAGAGAGAGAGAGGGGGGGGCGCCCATGTGCGCGAGAGAGAGAGAGAGAGGGGGGGGCGCCCATGTGCGAGAGAGAGAGGGGGGGCGCCCATGTGCGAGAGAGAGAGAGGGGGGGCGCCCATGTGCGAGAGAGAGAGGGGGGGGCGCCCATGTGCGAGAGAGAGAGAGGGGGGGCGCCCATGTGCGAGAGAGAGAGGGGGGGGGGCGCCCATGTGCGAGAGAGAGAGGGGGGGGGGGGCGCCCATGTGCGAGAGAGAGAGAGGGGGGGGCGCCCATGTGCGAGAGAGAGAGAGGGAGAGGGGGGGGCCCCATGTGCGAGAGAGAGAGGGGGGGATGTGCGAGAGAGAGGGGGGGCGCCCATGTGCGAGAGAGAGGGGGGGCCCATGGCGAGAGAGGGGGGGGCGCCCATGTGCGAGAGAGAGAGGGGGGGGCGCCCATGTGCGAGAGAGAGAGAGGGGGGGCGCCCATGTGAGAGAGGAGAGAGAGAGAGGGGGGCGCCCATGTGCGAGAGAGAGAGGGGGGGGCGCCCATGTGCGAGAGAGAGAGGGGGGGGCGCCCATGTGCGAGAGAGAGGGGGGGGCACCCCATGTGCGAGAGAGAGGGGGGGGGCACCCATGTGCGAGAGAGAGAGGGGGGGGGCGCCCATGTGCGAGAGAGAGAGAGGGGGGGCGCCCATGTGCGAGAGAGAGAGAGAGAGAGGGGGGGCGCCCCATGTGCGAGAGAGAGAGGGGGGGGCGCCCATGTGCGAGAGAGAGAGGGGGGGGCGCCCATGTGCGAGAGAGAGAGAGGGGGGGGGCGCCCATGTGCGAGAGAGAGAGAGGGGGGGCGCCCATGTGCGAGAGAGAGAGAGGGGGGGGCGCCCATGTGCGAGAGAGAGAGAGGGGGGGCGCCCATGTGCGAGAGAGAGAGGGGGGCGCCCATGTGCGAGAGAGAGAGGGGGGGGGCGCCCATGTGCGAGAGAGAGAGAGGGGGGGAGAGAGAGGGGGGGGCGCCCATGTGCGAGAGAGAGAGAGGGGGTGCGGCGCCCATGTGCGAGAGAGAGAGGGGGGGCGCCCATGTGCGAGAGAGAGAGGGGGGGCGCCCATGTGCGAGAGAGAGAGAGGGGGGGGGGGCGCCCATGTGCGAGAGAGAGAGAGGGGGGCGCCCATGTGCGAGAGAGAGAGGGGCGCCCATGTGCGAGAGAGAGAGAGGGGGGCGCCCATGTGCGAGAGAGAGAGAGGGCGCCCATGTGCGAGAGAGAGAGAGGGCGCCCATGTGCGAGAGAGGGGCGCCCATGTGCGAGAGAGAGAGGGGGGGCGCCCATGTGCGAGAGAGAGAGAGGGCGCCCATGTGCGAGAGAGAGAGAGGGCGCCCATGTGCGAGAGAGAGAGAGGGCGCCCATGTGCGAGAGAGAGAGAGGAGGGCGCCCATGTGCGAGAGAGAGAGAGAGGGCGCCCATGTGCGAGAGAGAGAGAGGGCGCCCATGTGCGAGAGAGAGAGAGGGCGCGCCATGTGCGAGAGAGAGAGAGAGAGAGGCGCCCATGTGCGAGAGAGAGAGAGAGAGAGAGAGGGGGGGCGCCCCATGTGCGAGAGAGAGAGAGAGAGAGGGGGGGCGCCCATGTGCGAGAGAGAGAGAGAGAGGGGGGGCGCCCATGTGCGAGAGAGAGAGGGGGGGCGCCCATGTGCGAGAGAGAGAGGGGGGGCGCCCATGTGCGAGAGAGAGAGGGGGGGGCGCCCATGTGCGAGAGAGAGAGAGGGGGGGCGCCCATGTGCGAGAGAGAGAGGGGGGGCGGCCCATGTGCGAGAGGGGTGGAGAGAGGGGGGGCGCCCATGTGCGAGAGAGAGAGGGGGGGCGCCCATGTGCGAGAGAGAGAGGGGGGGGGGGGCGCCCATGTGCGAGAGAGAGGGGGGGCGCCCATGTGCGAGAGAGAGAGGGGGGGCGCCCATGTGCGAGAGAGAGAGGGGGGGCGCCCATGTGCGAGAGAGAGAGAGGGGGGGGCGCCCATGTGCGAGAGAGAGAGGGGGGCGCCCATGTGCGAGAGAGAGAGGGGGGGGGCGCCCATGTGCGAGAGAGAGGGGGGGGCGCCCATGTGCGAGAGAGAGGGGGGGGCACCCCATGTGCGAGAGAGAGGGGGGGGCACCCATGTGCGAGAGAGAGGGGGGGCGCCCATGTGCGAGAGAGAGAGGGGGGGCGCCCATGTGCGAGAGAGAGAGGGGGGGGCGCCCATGTGCGAGAGAGAGAGGGGGGGGCGCCCATGTGCGAGAGAGAGAGAGGGGGGGCGCCCATGTGCGAGAGAGAGAGGGGGGGGGCGCCCATGTGCGCGAGAGAGAGAGGGGGGGCGCCCATGTGCGAGAGAGAGAGGGGGGGGGGGGGGGCGCCCATGTGCGAGAGAGAGAGGGGGGGGGGCGCGCCCATGTGCGAGAGAGAGAGAGGGGGGGCGCCCATGTGCGAGAGAGAGAGAGGGGGGGGGCGCCCATGTGCGAGAGAGAGAGGGGGGGCGCCCATGTGCGAGAGAGAGAGAGGGGGGCGCCCATGTGCGAGAGAGAGAGGGGGGGGGCGCCCATGTGCGAGAGAGAGAGAGGGGGGGGGCCCCATGTGCGAGAGAGAGAGGGGGGGCGCCCATGTGCGAGAGAGAGAGGGGGGGGCCCCATGTGCGAGAGAGAGAGAGGGGGGGGGGGCGCCCATGTGCGAGAGAGAGAGAGGGGGGCGCCCATGTGCGAGAGAGAGAGAGAGGGGGGCGCCCATGTGCGAGAGAGAGAGGGGGGCGCCCATGTGCGAGAGAGAGAGAGGGGGGCGCCCATGTGCGAGAGAGAGTAGGGGCGCCTATGTTGCGAGAGAGAGGGCGCCTATGTTGCGAGAGAGAGGGCGCCTATGTTGCGAGAGAGAGGGCGCCCTATGTTGCGAGAGAGAGAGGCGCCTATGTTGCGAGAGAGAGGGCGCCTATGTTGCGAGAGAGAGGGCGCCTATGTTGCGAGAGAGAGGGGCGCCTATGTTGCGAGAGAGAGGGGCGCCTATGTTGCGAGAGAGAGGGCGCCTATGTTGCGAGAGAGAGGGCGCCTATGTTGCGAGAGACAGGGCGCCTATGTTGCGAGAGAGAGGGGCGCCTATGTTGCGAGAGAGAGGGCGCCTATGTTGCGAGAGAGAGGGCGCCTATGTTGCGAGAGAGAGGGCGCCTATGTTGCGAGAGAGAGGGCGCCTATGTTGCGAGAGAGAGGGCGCCTATGTTGCGAGAGAGAGGGCGCCTATGTTGCGAGAGAGAGGGCGCCTATGTTGCGAGAGAGAGAGGGCGCCTATGTTGCGAGAGAGAGGGCGCCTATGTTGCGAGAGAGAGGGCGCCTATGTTGCGAGAGAGAGGGCGCCTATGTTTGCGAGAGAGAGGGCGCCTATGTTGCGAGAGAGAGGGCGCCTATGTTGCGAGAGAGAGGGCGCCTATGTTGCGAGAGAGAGGGCGCCTATGTTGCGAGAGAGAGGGCGCCTATGTGTGAGAGAGAGGGCGCCTATGTGTGAGAAAGTGCCCACGTGCGACACAGGGTGCATGTACAGCCCAGACCGTATGCGGGCATACGCAACACAGAGTGCATATGTGACAGTGGCAGGCAATAGATTTTTTACAACTACAGGTTGCAGGAAAGAAAAATTGCGCGGTTCTCCCAACAACCTGTCAACAGTGTTGATGGGGGAATCCCTCCCACCTATTGTGTTCTACGGTTGGGGGGGTTGCGTGGGGAGCCATCCCTGCCAGGAG